AATTAAGAGCAGTATGCTTCCCTTCCTCTAACCAATTCTGGTTTTAGGGGCCCTTGCTTCTACTGAGACCCATCTCAAGGCAGCACAGGAAGGTAAAGGGAACTTTCTTGATCCCTTCTCTACCCTTCACTTCTGTGCAATGACTTGCCATACCTGGCCTGGTATATTGTACACTTTTATTTAGCTTGCTGTACAGCAGTGGTGCTCAACTTATCCAGCGCCACAGGCCAGATGAGTGGTGCAGGGCCAATTTGTAGGCTGGATCCAGTGTGGGGTCAGTGTACAGGGTTAATGCATGTGTGCAATGATCCAGCCACATGCTACCCCAATGCCATGCATGAGGTACAGCCACAGCTCAACCGTGTGTCGATGTGATTCACCACCATACAGGGCCATGTCATTTGGATCATTGAGTTCCCCATGTTTTCAGAAATTGAGCTGTGGGGAGCACAGTGGCAGAATTAACATGACAACCATTCCTCCACTGCCAAATTTTCAGACCCATAGGGAACCCCATGAGCCAGGTGACAACAGCTCCATGGGCAAGATCTAGCCTAAGAGCCATATGTTAAGTATTACTGATCAAGTGTTGAAAATCTGCCTGCTTCTTACCTTGCATTTCAATAACACATTGCAGTCACTGGTAACTTCCCATCCCAGATACTCAACAAAATGGGGACCTGTTTAAAATTATATATATAAAAAACATGCATCAGCAATGAATCATAATACAAAAGTACATTCAACCATTTTTTAGGCTACACGTACACTGACATTGTACATTTCATATTTCTTCTATATAAGTCAAACAATTATTTAGCAATTTATATTACAAAAATATATTGAAACCTACTCCTATATTTAATTAGTTAATATAAATGTGGATTCCTTTCATATCCATATACTATGCTGTCTAGTACCTTGTTTCCTGTACCATTCCCGCCTCTGGAAGTCTGCTTCATCCTGTAGTTTCTTAAAAACTAGGGATTAGAAAATAATAAAGAGAAAATGTAAACCTCTCAAACATAACATTTCATTTCTCATAGGTGACTGAATATTATTGTATTGGAAGGGTAAAATCCTGTCCCTGTGGAGGTCACAGAGTTTTGCTATTGACTTCAAAAGGGCCAGAAATGCATCTTGGGTTTTCAATATTACATATCTCAACATTTAACCACATCTACTTTCATGGTGTTAGTACAGGGAACTAAGTTCTACTAACTGCTCATAGTTATCAAATGTTTTGCATGTCAGACAATTCTGATGAAGTATTAGCCTCAGTCAAACAATCACATTTGATCCTCAAAGGAAGGAAATTAAGAATGGCAGCCAAATAAATAAGTAGTTGAAATACAGACAGCTAGTATATCTGAGCAGCTAACCTGAAATATGAGAACAGATCCAACTACTTCCAATATGCATCACCATAGCATTGTGGATCATTGTCAGTGTAAATAGAAAAGCAAGGAAAGCAAACTGGAAGAAGCGATAGAGGTATTGTAGGTAGTAATATTTAACTCTTGCATAGCAGTTGTCATATTTCAAGCACTTTGCAAATATTACTTCATTCATACAATGCCTGTGAGAGGCAGATGTATTTCTGATGGCCTAAATCTTGGAACGTTTTTTTCTAATGTTTTTGTGGAATATTTTCCTTTTTATCAAAAAAAATGGAAATTTGACATGCTCTATTAAGTGTTCTTATCCCGGTATGCAGTTGAGGAGACTAAAAAACGACTTGTGCAAAGGACAAATTAATCCATAGGAAAACACAGGTCATCCATAAGAACACAGATCAAGACTCAAGGGTCAATGGCTGCTTAGTTCAGCCCTCTCTCATAAAAGCAAAGCTACAAACGAGCTTACCATCACCAATTAGCACAAGGCTAGATTGGTTGGTTGCTTTTCCATCCTGAAGTTGGAAGGTATAGGTCCCTTCATCCTTGGCCTCAAGTTTTTCCATGATCATTTCAACCAGACCGGTCTTCTGATCTACATTCATTTTATATTTCTTTAGAAACAAAAAGAAAAGTAAGAATAATGACTGTCTTCAGAACTGCCCTCCCCCAGCCAAAATCACTATCAAGCTAATACTCAATGATATAAGTTATATAAAATTCCTCATTTTCTTCATTTGCTCACTGTGTCTAACTGAGTCTGATTATACAACCAGACAAACAGATCTACAGTCAAAACATATTTATTAATATTAGAACAATATTATTCCTGTTGGATTCTAAGCATCACATCCATTTCATTAGACAGGATTTTTAAAAATATATTGTAATTTCTGCCGAACACTACTGACTCTTGAACCAAAGATAATTGTGGATCTTATCATCACAGAATGCTCTGCTGATATAGAATAGGATAAAAGCAATGGAATTCTATACATCTCATACAACTTCCTTGCCTATTATTAACGGAAACTTGCATACAGTTCCCAGTCTTGGGCTACATGCAGCCCCTTTTCAGTAGAATGTTATGGCTGTAAACTCAAAGAAATGGTTGCCTGGAAATCCCCCTTAACATAAGAAGCTTCCCCACAAAGTATAGAAATAACAGACCTAGCCTTACAGTCCCTAGCTGGTGGCCTGGATGAGGAAAAAGAAGGTATGGTTTGAAACTGGGATTCTGGGCTACTGTAAAAGCTTATATAAGGCCATGACAGGCAGCTGCAAGTTACAGCAACCCCTGAAACTGCCTCTTCTGAGGTCTGAAATGGTCTTCAGCTACTGCTAGTTCTGGGTACCCATGAAGGTGACCTAAAAATGCTTTGGGCCCACCCTCCAGGTCTTCATCAAGCAGAACTGAGCTGCAGCTCAGAATTTGTCCCTAATCTCCATGCTGATGTTTTCTATTACTTACGATTGCCATGAAAAGGTATTAAAGAAGTATGTTTTGACTGTACTCAAAACACTTAATTGGCATATTAATATTCATTGCTTATAAAAATCAGAAAACCATAAGCAATTACAAGTCTTACCTCTCCATTAAAAATTTCTTTGTCGTTAAATACAAAGTTGACCTTTGCATTGCCAGACAACTTTTCAGCCTGCAACCAGAATCTCACTTGTCCTTTCTCCATAATTTCAACTGCCAACTCAGACGTAAGTGGGATAGCTACAAAAAGGAAAGTTACAGACGCTCTTTTCTGTGTTTCACAATTTTTCTTTTTCATATTCAAATGCCATTTCTTCCACAGATGTGCAGGGAATGTATGCATTAACTACCAGTAATATTAATTGTGCACTTGTATTGAAATCCCTTTTTTTTGTTCATATAAACAATAAATTAGTAATCCCTCTACTAGTCACCATTGCCAGATCTGCATACACCTGGAAATATTCAGGATTCATTTAAGTTATATTTAATTGCCCTCCATTCAAGCTCAAAGCCAAACAGTAAACTGAAAATATCTCTGCAGCATGATGGACTGTCCATGGCACAGAACCACACTTAATGATTCACTCTGTAATTAGACTTTAAGGGAGTGGAGTGACTCAGCAGACAAAATAGTATGCAAGGTCTTGTCCTGAAGAACAATTAAAAAACAAACAGGTGCTTTCCGAGCTAGGGAGTTTTTTAAGCACTGTGAACCCCTGCATGTGAAGTCCTTCATTCCTAAAATTTATGCTGTATGTCATATTGTGCCATAAATCTCAGCGGCTAACTCATTTTTCCAAAAACAAAATTGAAGTCACTGACAAGGGCCAAATCCATTGCATTGAATGGGCCAAACTCGACTGAATCATGTTGTGGTCACTTATCCTATAATAACTGTAATCATATTTTTAGTTTTTTCCAGTACTAACAAGTTCAAAATGTTTAACATATTTCATTTTAAATCTTTCTTGGACTTTAGTTTACTTAAATCACATGGTCATTTGAACCTGGTCATAGACTGTGTGACTTAAGCTCCCACCCAGAGTTTATACATAATCAAACTCATAGAGCTTTGTAAACTATGTGAAAAATCCCTTGCCCTCCTACAGGTACCTTGTATGTATACATACATATTTTTAAAAATAGTAGTTTCCCCCAAAATGTAAGAACCTGCCAGACTGGCAACCTGAATAAGTACATCATTACTTATTCATCTTCTCTACTATAGTAAAATTAGGGTATAACACTATCCCAGAGCTTCACTGCTCAGTCCTGCGTACCAGGATCAAGGCCTCCTGCATTACCTCGGCCTAGTCATGTGTGCTGAAATCGGGGCCCCAGAGCCATGTGCCAGTTCTTCTCGGTCCCATGTTCTCTAAGGCCCTGTGCTCCCTCTGCCTGGTCCTGCACGCCAGGATCAGGGCAACAGGCCCCCACGCTACCTCTGCACAGTCCATGGGCCAAAACTGGGGCCCCAGGGCCCTGCACATTCTACATTAGATCCTGTGGGCTGAGATCAGACCCTGTGCTGCTTTGAGCATCCAATCTAGTACACAGGGCCACAACCTGTTGTGCTCCCCAGGGGTCTGTGGGGAGCCTGGCAGGCCAGATAACATGGCACCGGGGCTGGATCTGGCCCATAGGCTGGGGGTTGAGCATCCTTATGTTACACTCTCAGCCTAACCTGATGTTGTAGAACAGTGGCAGATGGTTCCTTTAAAGCTCTCCACTTGCTTCCACTTCCCAGAGCAAATGCACCTTCCAAAGCAGGCAATATACATAGAAATAACTGCCTCCCAGTCTGTATATGGTCATGAAGAACATATAGAGGCTACACTGCATGTGAGCCTTCAACTTCTCTCATAAATCATGCACACACATACAAACGTTCACTGCCTGAGTAGCAGGGAACCCTCTTCCAATCTTACTAATCCTAAGACGTCTGGTATGTGGGGAAATGGGGAACAGTCATAAGGAAAAAAAGGAAGCAATAGCTACTAGAGGGAAGATGGCAGAAAGAGTCATTAAGGGTGGGGGGGAAATGGGATCTAGCATTAAAGTGACACTTTCCTCTCTGTTTAACTTCTGCATATTAGTACAATGGTGCTGTTAAAAGCTTCCTTACTTGCTTCACTGCTCAGTTTATGAGAAATGAAGGGAATCTAGGTTCTTGCATAATCTTTAAAAACAAAGGAATGAAATGTCACATGTACCAGTGTTTGCAGCAGGAAGTGGGTGTAAAAGAAGAAATTAGGCTGTGCTGCTTTTGTCTTACTGTCAGCTCTGTGGCAGTTTTACACTCTTCACTTGATTTGTATGCAATTAACTATGAATATCTTAGCCTAAAATGGAAACAGGGGGGAAAAAGCTTCACAGAAGACTACAATGAGCTAAAAGCTTTTTCTCTTGTGAAGTGAATTCACTCCCCAATCCACAGGAATCCGAGTAACATGACTGAGCACTTGTTTTTCCCAACAAAAAAGCTTATTTATAATCTCTGTATTATGAGGCACTGACTGGCAGCAACACTAGGGTATTTTAGCCTTCCTTCCTATTTTGCATAGGATCCAAAGTATCACAGGCTTTTGATTAAACCTCCTTTGGCATTCCAAAGTTGAAAACCAGGGCTTTCCCATCCTTCTCTGAGTCCCTACATGGCTACTATTCATGCTTGTCTGAGTTCAGTAAGACTGGATTGCTCAGGCAACCCACTTGCCAATAACCTTGCCAGCTGTTGTTGTGTCTAAACATGAATTACAATCTGTTCAAGTTAAGCACTGTTCAGAAGTTCAAGTGAGTGAACATGCAAGTATTTAAGCTTAATGTGTAAGTTCTGCAAATTAATTTTCATGTACAGAACTAATTTTGTTACTGCTTGTCAAAGATTGTCAGTTGAGACTGAAGTCCCCTGCATACCCACTGGATCTCATTACTTTTATTCTGTCCTCTTAGGCATCTGCTAGCATATTTTATTTTATTATTGTTATTTATGTTTTTACAGTGTCTAAAAGTCTGCTGCTATCCAAAAGGATGCAATAGTTATGCAAAAGCAAAGGCATGGGCTCCACCCTGAAGACATTACACTATCTAAAGCTGGACATGATACCACAGGTAGGAAGGAACAACTAGTAGTGAGGGGAAAGGGTGAGGAAGGACAAATAACAATAGCAATAACACTGTGGAATTACAAAATTGTGGGTGTGGAACTCCAGTTAGGCCAGAAAGCAGGTAGTTGAGGAAGAAGCAAACAAGTGGGATGCCAAAGTGGCTTCAGGGTGGCAAAACTGTGTCACTGGATGACACATTAATGTGAAAGTTGGCTGTTGGACAGGAGTGGAGTTTTTAAAAGAATCAGTGGAAGGATTCAGAACAAGATGGCCAGAGTGATGGTCATGTCCAGGTTTTGGAAGGACTGGAGTGGTGCAGTGAGGGTCTCAAGTAGGCCAGAAGAGTGGAGATTCTGGCACTGAGGCAGATAATCAAAGCTAGGTCAAGAATTTCAGTTCAGATAAAAAGGAATAGTCTATGTTTTGATATGCACCAGAGGTACAAACAACCAGATATGGCCTGGCTATATGAAACAGGATTTAGCATTGTGTACTCCAGTTACACTACCATGATTCACTGAAAAAGCATGGTGCTACACCAGGCTATTGCTGGATAAATAGAGTCTCCAACCCGAATGCATCCTCCAAGGTAAAAGCCCATGTATGAGGAAGAATAGTCATATTGTCAACAATAACACCAGTCTCTAAAAGAAAAAGCCAATGGGATGTTTTCAACACAGCCAATACATGGACTGTACTGTACTACATAACTTATAGCATTCCAAATATGTGCTATTAATGTAGTGATATGACCAGAAAGACTTATTAGAAGAAACCAAGCTTCACACACACAAACTTTCTTATGAAACTAGTGGTGCAGCTCCCCTGGCAGAAACTTTGTAATATACATGCATACAAACCTTTCCCCTATAAACATGCTCAAAATACATACTTGGGAATTTGTGTTCATGGCTGAGTGCAAGTAGCCGCTTCATTTCTGCAAAAATTTAAAAAGATATGATGTGTAAGTATGCGCGCATCTATTTCACCGCCTTGAATGAGCACAGATTTTTCTACATTTTCATGTACTCCAGAAGAAAAAAAATAAAATGTAAAAAATGAAGCAGCTATGCAAAAAGAAGTGGGTTTTGTTCTTACCTTCCTCATCCATTGTGTAGCTTGATGAAACTCCATCAGTGTCCGTGACAATACAAGAGTAAATGCCCAAATCATCTTCTCCAAGATCTTTAAAGACAGCTTTCGACCTTCAGATAAAAAACATAAATTAAAAGCACAGATGTGTCTGAACCGACCTTTCTGTCCCTAACAAATCTGTATGTCTGCTTTACCTCTAGCTGAGCAAGAGAATAGAGGTGCACGGTCAATGAAAAATCTGTACCTGCTAAATCTGTAAAGCCCCCTCCTCACTGTCAACTATATATCTAGAATAAGAAGGATATGAATAGATTAGCTCTGATTAGTCCAGAGACAAAATGGGCAACTTCCAAGAGCAAAGCATATAGGAGTAAAGATGGCTAGGAAGCATTGACATGCAACTGAAGTGTGTTTGCTGCTTTTTTTGTGGTCATACCCAAACTAAATTTAAATTAGAGAGCTCATGTAGTATGGAGCTTAATGGAAAATCCATCCTGAGAGCTGGAAAAATATTCAGGCAATTTGCCTGTGTTGAGCTACATTCTACTGTGGCTACCCCGTTACAAGTTCACAACCTAGCACGCTTAAAGATGGCATGGGTATGTCTACACAAGTTGCAGTAACAGGACTGCAGACATATATTATACTACCTAACAGGCACTTCTCCAGGGAGAAAATTCTTCCTGGACCTAGTTTTTTATGGGAGGGATCAGGGAGCATAGTAGGCTGTTATCCACCAGGGAGGGGAGATACCAAATTGTTTTGAGGCTCTATAATAATCAGGACCCCCCGCATCCATGTTAGTTTGTAAACATGTATTTACAGTTCCCTCCCCCCAAATAAAAGTCTGGGGAAATACATTAATTTTGTAGAGCAACCTGAAAGTCACCAAATCTGGAGTCTGGTGGAACAAAATGTGCCATTATTCACTGAAAAAATCTTGGAGGACCAGTCCCTTGTGATCAGGCTAAGGTGTTTGCTTGCAGCACTTCAGGGGACTGAGACATTTGCAGTGTTACGTGGTGAAAGAGCTTAAGCATTCAAGGCATAGAAAATTTATAGCTTCATAGAGTAAGAAAAATCTTAAATAACACCTGAAAACTATGTGGTAGTTAGGTTAGGTTACAGAGCACATGTGTAATGTCCTTTCAGTGTAAAACACCATTTAAGTAAGCAGGCTGCATCATTTCATTTTAGCTGCAATTTCTGAATAGTCTGAAAGTGGACTCCCATGAAGACAGCATGGTAACAATCTTACTTTCAGGCATGGATAATCTTGGTATCCGTATCTAATACCACAGTGGATGTGGTATTGGATCTGCATTCAATACAGTAGTGGATCCAGGATGGAAAAAAACAGGGTGTGGTGGCAGTGGAAAACTCACTGTGTACATGTTTAGCAGCTGACACCAGAGCTCTCAGCAGCAAAACAGTAACAAAAGTGGGGTGGAACTGCACCACTGAATCTCCTTGAATCCACCCTTGATCAGATAAGATGGATTTCAGTTTCTAGAGCTGCTAAATATCATAGAATTGCTATTATCGAGGTTTCTTACTTCCCACCCTTAGTGTCAACGTCTAATCGAGAGTCATCTTCAATTGGTTCATAATTCTTGGACCAGATGAACTTAGAGTCTGGAGACATCTGATCACATTCAAAGTTGAGGGAAATGACTCCATTATCATCTACTTCCGCCACCACTTCTTTAGTTCCTAGAAGATCAACAAGGCAATTCTACTTATTTTTCATACAAAGAAGCATAAAGTTTGGATGATTTTCTTTCAAGAGTGAACTCAAAGAAGGTTCATAAAATAATGATTAAAGAGGGTTCATAGATCAATGTGGCTACGTGCACTTGGAAAAGGATTGTACGTATCTGAAACTTGCAACATGGAGCCCCGGGTTAAAAGAAGCTTTAAAAAAAGGCTCATAGAAAAAATGTAATGGGGTGGAGAGAATGAAAATGAACAAATGCAAGTACATTAAAATGCACAGGATGTTGAAATATTGTAAAGGCAATACTTTCCAAGGTAAGGTTCATCTATAGCTTTCTTTAGGCAGGGCAAATTTTTCATTTGCTAATAAAAAACGTAATAAAATGCCAAATGCAAAAGTGCATACTTTGGGAATAGGTGAACTGAAACACTGCAACACTCACTTGTACAACTGAACTACTCTACTATTCACAGTTCTGAGCTCATTCACACATACAGGTTGGATTAAACTTACAGCATGTTGATCTGCAACAGCCTGTGAAATGCATCCCATGTCCACTAGTAGAGTGTGTGTGTATTTGTGATTGGTTGCTAAGTGCAACACTTCAGGTGTGTCTACACATCACCATACAGTGACATTGCTATGGCGCTGTGCTTCAGTACTTCCTTTTAGAGGTACTAAAGCATGGTGCAGTAGGGGTGGTTACTGCACTGCGCATGGGGCGCACAGTTAAATTTCACTGCTGCATCATCATGGTGGCACCCCATTCCTGGAAGGGCACCGCCATAGCAATGTAGCTGGCAATGTAGACACATGATTGCTACATCACCATAGTGCACCATATGGTAACGCAGCATGTTGCAATGTCACTGTAGGGCAACATGTAGATGCACCCTTTGATTCAAACTAAGACCTAGTTCTGACTACTGCCTTGTCACTCCAGCAGCTAGAATACTTGGTAAGGGCCAGATCATCCAGCACACTCCAGGAGGGTACCAAATGGAGAATAAAAGGTCCAGAACCAGAACATACTTAGAATCTATGCCTTTTGTATCCTTGTACAGATAAGAGAGCTCAATTTTGCGTATGAGTGCAGAGATAGCTCTGACCCACTCTTGAACATGGAGTTAACTTTTACTCCAACAGCTTGCCTGAGAATGTCCTGAAAGTGGTTTGCATTCAGGAGGAGTTGGAAAATATCCAACTTCTTTTTTTGGCACAGCACTGAACTTGACTGTAATTTTTAAAAAAGACACTGATGTCACTATATCCAGCTAGGAAAGCCTTGGTGTGCCTAGAATGTTAATGACATCCTTTTACCCTAAACTGTTATATCTTAGAGAAAAGGGCCTCAATCACAAAACACTTGCAGAATTCTAAACAGTTATAGTAAATGCCTTATTTTCAGCACTTTTCTTAAATCCTGTGTTTCATCAGCCTTGCACCAGCACCTTGCATGGCTTCTCCAGCACTGGGGACAGCAGCATGCTCCTTATAATAAATGTATCTGTGAACATGTAGCCTTCTTATCGTTTCTAACTTCCCTTTAATATTTAATGAAAGGTGAAATTCATATTTTTCTTACATCAGTATTATCATTCTAGCACTTAACGTCTATGAATCTGTGAATCTATTCTCTAGCCCTTCTGATAATGCTCTTTACAGTTCAAAGATATGAGTTTAATACTAGTGAACTGTAAGTGAAGTCTGAGCTCTACAAATCTCTTACTGGGCAGCAGCATGTTTCTACATTTTTCAAATAATCCATTATGTGGAAATCCACTGTTTGACATGTCATTAGCATTTGTTTCCACTGTAGGTTGTACATGAATCTTTTGATGACAGCGTAGATAATATATGACAAAGATAGCCATAATGGCCAACCAGGATAAATATACTTTTTACTTGCTTTTAAAATGTTCATAATATGATGATAATATTAGGCATTTATCTTGAGTAGTGATGCATATGCAATTAAGTTCTGCTATATTTTCTGTGAGTTCTCTGTTTTTATTTTATTTTACTGATGGTTTACCTCTACCTTCAATTCTTAACTAGGCCATTAGAAAACCAAAGTATGTTTTTATATTATTAGTTTTATCTACCAGAGGTATTCATCAAGCTTTCAAAAAGGAACCAGAGAGGTAGATAAAACAATACCAGGCAAATTCCTTTTCCTGATAGCATGGCAATTTTAACATGTTGTTTTGTATCTCATTGAAGATTTGCCATAGGAAAAAAATACTTGGATTATATTAAAGGATATTATAGCACCTATTAAATATCATCAGTTTTGCTGAGGGTTTCATTACAATGAAAGGAAAGAGAGAACATTTAGATAAGATGGACAGCTTGGAAACTCCAAAGTTACTGCCATCATTTCAGATTTGGCGAAATAGAAGAGAATGGTTGAATGGGACAGTTTCATTAATTTCTGCAGTTTGGATTTAAAACTTTCTGAACTCACTGCCAAAGATCTTTCTGTAAAGCTGGAATTGCTCATTGATCAGCTGCAATGACTGTGGTGGCTAACAGGCTGTGTGATTAGTGTGAAACTAAAATTCAGAAATTTTAGCAGAAATATACTGAGGACAGTAGCTCTGTTCTTGGGTCTGGAAGAGCTGTGCTCCCTGCAGAGCTAGAAGCCATGGCAAAGAGAATGGGCAAATGCATCTTCATGATTTCTAAAAGTGTTCTTAATTCATTGGTTGCAGATCATTTCAGCTGTTCACGTAACTTGGAGCAACCTGCTCTAAAACTAAGTTATTGGTAGCTGCAACAGCCCACAAATTATTGTTTTTACAGTTGAGGATAACAGGGTTGAATAGCACTATACATGGACTCCCCTTTGAAAGACACACAAGGACGATCCCCAACATTTAAGTGAGGTTTAAGACCCTGATCTTGCAATGTAATTCCAATGGGCAGTTCTTTAAGTCCAAGAAGAACTCTTTTAAAATCAAAGGTGCTTTGCATAGGAGTGGTGGTCTGGCCATAGAAAGGCCCAACTGACTACCATAATATTTTACATCCATCTAAGATCTGAATAACAGCAATGCTCATTAGAAAAATACTTTTCCTAAAAAGTGGAGACAGTTTTAAGAATGGCACAATTATTACTGAGAAAGATAAAAGCTTGGCCCAGAAATGCTTTCTGAGGGAATTGTTTAATCAGTCTTTTGTCTTTCCTTAAACTCGTTTTTAAGAAGAGTTGCCTGTTACCACATCTGCAGATCTGAACTAGAAATATGGGTCATTAAGCTCAGTATAAACCTTCAACTATCCTGAGAATTTTAATGGGCAGATTCCTGACTCTCCCAATCTCTGGACTTGGAACTGATGTTTTGGCTGCAACCTGTGTCCCTGAACAAGAGTGCAACATGAGAAACGGCTATGGTTCTGCTTTGCAGTTCCTCTTCACCAAGATGTGTGGTCTGCAGGCCAAATATTATGCTGATTTGGCCTTATGACTCCATAAGCTTCCCTTATTTTAGCTTTCAGAAATGTTACTTAGGTTAAATCGCCTTGTTTTTTGTAAAAAAGCATCCCCAGTTCTTAATTAATGTAATTATCTATGCTTTTCTGTTCAATATGTCCAGGGCTTTTTATTGCAAGGCAAACATTTATTATCAGTCTGAAGACTAAACATTAATTCTCAAGGGAAAGAAATTAATACAACCAGAAAGTTTTGGAACTAAGTGTTCATCTGACTCTCTTTTTCATGAGGCTTGCCTTCATTTGTGTAGAAACAGTTATCAGTTCCAACTGCAGAGTGTGGCAAAAGTCCTAGTAAATCAAGAGCTCATAGCACTGGGCTTTGTATGGCCACGTCCAGAAAAGCACAGACATTTGGTTCCCCAGGGACAACAAGCAGAGGGACACTTTCTGCCACTACTAGTTATCCCAGTGGAATACACATGCCATGTGCACTCTGGCATGCGGCAGGTTACTCCAGGTTGGGTAGGGGAGGCTGGGGCCAACGCAGTTGCTAGCCCCAACAGCTTTACCTGGGGTCCTGGGGGCTCGGGAAGCTGCAGCCATGTCACTCCTGCAGCTTGGAGCCTGGATGGCAGCTGGAGTGTGGCTCCGGCTGGCCAGGCTCCAATTTTAGGCGGTGCATGCTGTCCCCGTATGTGTCACCCCACCTTTTTCTGCGTGTTTTTTTTGACCCCTGGAGATGCTCCAGCGGTAAAAAAACCCACCATATTGCAAGGTAGCAGCACAGGAAACATCTAAATGTGTGGTATGTGGTGCCTCAGATGGGTCTGCAGCACCACATACCTCGCAGCTGTGCTTGTCTGGACAATGTCTATTTATATTAAGTTATTATTAAATAGATTGTTTGAAAGATATTTAAGGAAATTTTTCATCATTTAATCACCCATTTTGATTTTAAATTTTCCAACATAAAATACAGCCTTTGTGTCCAGACTTATTTTATTTTAGTGTTTTCATCAGTTTTATGTATTATCTTACAGTTCTAACTATGATACCACATCTTGTGAGTCAGTCAAAAGCTCAACAGTGTCCTTCTATGAAATATTCAGAGGCAGAGTCTGAAGGGAGGAAAGCTTTTGGAGGCTCAAAAAGTTTTCTTCATCTTCTGTCTTTTCTTAGGATTTTTTGCCCTGTAGAAAAATCAGGGGCCCAGAGTCCAAAACCTCTGAAGTATTTGTATGGAATTCAGGTACCCAATGCAGTTGTAAGGCCAACTGTGCGGGGATTTGATGTCTCTTCAGTGATTCCTAGGCTCTCTCTGTTCTTCTAGCCTTTCTAGCCCTGTGAAACCATGCCTCCCCAGCCAGCAGTTACTCCAGTTACCCTGAGATTACTTAATGGTAGTCTCCATGGCACTGACACTATCTATATTCACTTTTTCAAGAATTTAGTGGTGGGTGATAAAGGTGGGGGGAGATCTTCCCAGTCTGTCTCCCCAACACTTTCCATGGTGACAGAGGTGGCAGGTACATTTCCTGTGCTTCTCTAATAAAAATAATTAGGCTCTGCATTTATGGGTCTTTCTGCAACTACATACAAACCTTATTAGCTTATCATATTTGTGTGTTCCAGTACATTATGGTATAGACATCTAATTTTATTTAAAAAGTGATTAAAAATTTCAATGTTCTGTTCTGCATAGGAAAAGGGCCTCATAACTTTGTAATAAATCAAAAGACAGGTGGATCCATTTCTTTATATGAAAGTCTATTTATGAACATAGCTGACAAATATGGACCTGCTTTAATCAGATGCAAAACCAGAATATTTAACAAACCTGGCCGTGTTTGAGCTATGACTGGGTCAGTGAGATCGGATGGTTTCCCAACGCCTGCCTGGTTTGTTGCCCGCACACGGAATACATAGCTGACACCTTCCTTTAAGCCGGTGATCTAAGAAATAAACACAAATAATGTATACAACTGAGCACGTTTTTTATTCCACTTGGTCTGTTCCCCTGGCTTGCAGGATTGACAGTAATAGATCTGTTGTTTCTAACATTTTCCACTTGGCAAGTATTTCCTTCCTTATGTTTTGTTAGCTCAGACAAATGTGACTAACTTGTTTTTGTTTGCTACTTCCCTGCGTGTGTACCTCATAGTTTTTGATATGCTGACATCATTGATGACACTATTTCTGGGAACAGGATGGGGTTTTTTTTAACTCCAGTTTTACCTATCTGTCTCTGAGGCAGCAGAGCAAACACTTCAAAGCACAGATATTTAGAATCTGGAGAATGTCGTCTGTTGGGCTCCGGTGGTTTTAGCCTGTAGTTTGAGGACACTATAAGTGAATATCTCTTTAAAAAGGCACATGCAAGGATAACATTTTAAAGTGAGGGGATTTAAAAATCATCTGTGGATACACATTTCAAATCTATTCATTTGCACATTCATGGGAGAATGTCTATAATCAAGTTGCAGTTATCCTATATTTAGAAGCAACTCCATGAAATTATGTACTACAATACAGAAATCTAAATTCAAACTCATGGTAGAATGTAATGACAACACTATATTATGCTTAAAAATATATATCTCCACAATATCTGTCTTGGTGATGTGCTGCTTATTTCACCTTTGAATCAAAAAATATAGAAAGTATGTATCCTGGATTTTAGGAATGCCGTTTATGTTGTCAGTGCTTTCTTCTATTTTTTAGATTCTGGCACTCTGAATTTTACATTTCTACACTGGTTCCCTCTTTGCTGTGCTAAATTTTCTTCCAAATTTAGTAATGTGCAAATACTGGCATTACATGGGTGTAACTCAGAGCACAATAAAGGTTGGCAAATCTAAAATTACAAGGAAGCACTACCAATAGTGGCATACCTTGAACTGACTTCATTGTTCCTGGTTTCACTGGTATAACTAAATTTGGCCCCAAACTGTTTTACCTTCAAGAATCTTTTTGTAATTGTTTTCTCATTGGCGCTTTTCCAATGTTCATCTGTTGCATCAGTTTCTTTCACATCAACATAGTAACCAGATACAGGGCTACGACCAGTATAAACCGGCTCTTTCCAAAGTAAAACCAAAGAGTCTTTCCTAACTTCAGTGCAGATGAGATCATGGGGTGGTCCTAAATGAAAAAAACAAACATGGAATCCCATAAATTAATTAAAATGACAAATAGGCGAATGCATAAAATTAATAAAGAATATACAGTCTCAAAAAACTGTGGGCTAAGTTCAAATCTGGTGCAAGCCAGTATTGCTCCATTTTATCTTGTACATCAAGAATGAATATTGTCTTGATCATGTTAAATTGAATTAGCCCATAAAATAATCAAATTTATTTTGTGACTTCCACTATCCTGACCACATAGTCATCAAAAAACATAAATGACTAACAATATCAAGTATTGTGGGGGAGGGAGTGTTAATTATTAACCCCATTACTAGATCCGGATTGCTATGTGTAGCACTGGGCTACTCAGCCCTGTATGTTGTGTGGCTATTTACACACAAGCTACTCTGATGGACATAGTATGAAAACCTCAAGAAAAAGAAATGCAAAATATAATGTTGTTGTAAAATTCTGCTTAAAATCTATTCTGCAGAGCAGTAAATGCCTTTTCCATGTACAAGGCAGTAGAGGTTCAAACCCTTATTGTTTTGCAACCTCTCCTTCTCTGCACCTCCACTGAAACTGAGGACACTCAAACACTTGCATTATGGAACTGTTGAGAATATAGAACGGGGCAGCGTTCCTGTTGGAAGTACCGTTTTTTCCTCCTGTTTTCAAAGTGCTTTTGTTACGTTAAGCTTCATGATATAAAACTTCAAAGCTACATTCAAGTTTTTACCTGGAACAGCAATGCTCCATTCTTCACACTTGAAGGAACGGCTAGGTGGGGAGGGAGTCCCGACTCCAGCCACATTAGTAGCAGCCACTTGGAACTGGTATATCATGTTTTCCTTCAAATTGGTAATCTGCAGGACCAAGAAAGTTGTACTCATCAGCCTTGCTCTAAAGCTATGAGAAATAGACAACTGGCTATTTCCCACATGAAAATTCATAGAACCTGTCCCAGTGTTTTACTACCCTCCTAATGAGAAAATTCTTCCTAATATCTAACCTAAACTTTCCTTGCTGCAACTTGAGACCATTGCTCCTTGTTCTGTCATCTGCCACCATTGAGAACTGTCTAGCTCCATCTTCTTTCAAACCTTCCTTCAGGTAGTTGAAGGCTGCTATTAAATCCCCTCTCAGTCTTCTCTTCTCCAAACAAAATAAGCCCAGTTCCCTCAGCCTTGCCTCATAAGTGACATTATCTAATACAAATCATCTTTGAAATCCTGTATGATAAATAGATTATAACAACATTAAAAATTATTTATCTCTCTCTCCTTCTCTCTCAACGTTATTAATATCATAGTTTCCATTACCATGAATGGAAGGGCATTACAAATGAGACCTTGGTACTTTGAGACCTGGACAATATACCTTAAGCAAAGTGAAGAGGGTTTGAGACAATGACTGTTCTGAATGTGCTCAAATTGTAAAACCCTGCCCTTAATGATAGACAGTATGCTAGGTAAAAATAAGCAAGACTGTTGCCAGCCGAACATTAATTATATGAGTCATTCTGCTGACACAGAGCAGGATGGTTTAGAGCAAGAACTGTCCTTGCAAAATGCACATTTGTCTCTGACACATAGCAGCCCTGCAAGTGAAATCAAGATCTGGCCACAGACATTAGTCAATAGGACAGAATGTGTGGGTACATGCAGACATTACATTTAGATCGACCTGACTAGGTCAACTTCTGGTCTGTGACTGGCCCTGAGTGCTAGATCCAGCAAACGTCCTAGAGCAGCCAGAGTGGGCACTGTATGCAGCACAGTCCCAGAGTGGCAGAGTGGCCACTGCAAACAGCATGACTCTGGAATGGGGGAATGTCATGTGGCCACTTCAAAGCCATGCTGCTTGTGGTGGCCACTTTCCTGCTCTGGCATGTGTGTTGAAGTAGGCACCATGTGTGGGAAGGTCCCAGAGTGGCCAGCGCAAACAGC